AATCAGAATTTTAAAGTTATGACTACTGTTTTGTAGCACATTGTTGGGTGGGACAGAATTCTTAGAAAACTTCGATGGATAATTGGGGATAAAGAGAAACAGCCAGGATGCTAGAAAAACTTAGGGAGTTTCCCATCATTCTTGCCATTTTCCATGGCTATGCATAGTTCCTCTCAACTGGACCAGCTCAATCTTTGCTTTAAGCTCTTTATCTAATTGGCTTTTCTGCCCAAGCTGTGTGGGAAGCTCCCTCCTGTTGCCTTAGTCTGCAAATCCATGTTAGATTTGCAACACCTTTTCCAGGTGTCGTATGGGAATGGTGGATGAAAACTGCCCTCCATAGTTTGGACTCCTTCAGATTCCTGTGCCAGCGGTTGGTGGTAGCTGTAGTCTGTGCCTTGAAGACCACTCCTTTGGTGTCAGCTGGTTCCAGACTGCCCCCATTCCCTCACTAGGCCTTCAGTCCTGCCCTTTGGACACTGTTGGAATATGCGTAACAGAGGAGTCTCCATCGAAAAGCAAGGCTCCATGAACCTGTCCCTCCCAATAAAGAATGGAGCTACAGGTGAGGGGAAGCTTGAAACACAGAACACTTGAAGACAGATGCTTGGCAAAGAACGGCATGCTAACTTCTGGGTTCTGAATTTGCACCTAGGATGGGAGGGACCTAGAAGTCATGTGGAGGACAAACACTTGATGGAGATGCATGGTGGAAAGACCAGCTTCCCCCCAGAGAAGCTGACAATGGCAGCTGTTTTGATTTGTACTGTAATTTTGTTTTTGTCATGTAATTTTGTGCCTCCTTTTGCCCATTTTCTATGCTTCCCTGAGGTGCTTCAGACTTGTAGCAATCTTTCAGCCTGCCTCAGTTACCCAACTTTGGGCCAACCATGTTTGGCTGGGCAACTGGGTGTTTCATTGATAAAATTTTCTTATTTTTTCCTTTCTTCTCACTAAAACATAACCTAGTAATTTAGTTTATCTCAAAACATCTTTCCTTTAGAACAGCAGCCCATGCCCCACCCCCGGACATTTCCACCATTTGAGACTGGTGTGTTTTAGACATTTAGTATTCTTTAGCATAAAAAGGGAGAGTAAAGAAGGGAAAGCAAATGGGAAGACATAAAACAAGGCCATGCTTCAGCGTGGAGTAGGGTTGGAGTGTCTAAAGAACATAAGGCATTACTGGGGAGGTAGTTCCCTTTCTGGTGAAGACTGGTGGCTCCCAAACCTAGAATTAGTCAGAATTCTTTTTTTTTATTAAAGATTTATTTATTCATACAGAACTGGGGTACAGGCCAGAGGCTCAGGCGCGGTGAGAGGCTTCACCAGAGACAGAGTGGGGAACAGAACAGGCAGATCTACGAAGTACACTGCTGAGGGGAGCAGCGGGCGGGTCAGGAGAGGTCTGCCACGCCATGTGGTCACCTCTGGGGTAGGCGGGAATCGAACTCATGCGGAAGTGGCTCTAGCTTCTCAGTGCTGTGCTTTAACCCACTGCGCCACCAGGGAGGGCCAGAATTCTTTTTTAAAAGGTTTATTTTCCCAAGGCTGCTGGAGGGTTAGAACTTTAGAAACTGGAGATGCCATCTCTTGGCAAGGCGCTGGCTGGGATCAGAGACTCTGGGAGCAATCAGAGGTGATTTGTTCGCCCGCTTCACAGGTGAATGTAGCCGATTGACCTGGTCCGAACCTCTTCTGTAATAAAGCACAGCATCATCATCTCAATCCACAGGGCGCTACATCCTTAAGTGAGTTTGAGTTCTGAGGAAGACCCTCCTTCCACCAGCATTCCTAACACTTACAACAAGCCCTGTGCTTGCAATGTGCTGTTGTGGTGACCTGGGAGATGCGCATTATGAAAGAAAATCCAGTTATTGGCCTGATGTGTAGAAGAAACCAATGATGTTGAGGACCCAAAGAGAATCACGATTTCACAAAAGTTTAACAAAAGTTAGTACTTCCCCCTGACTCATTAGATTCTGTGGTTTCTGAGCACAGGGCAGAGGGGAGAACAGCCTTCTCACAGGCGCCCTCAAAACGCTGCTTCTGGGGCTACAGCCAGGTCTACATAAGCCATGGTTCCTGGAGGCTCTCTCTGGGGCTGCCACTCTCTGGGGTGAGTTGTGATCCAACTGTGAACTCCGTTTTTTTTTTTTTTTTTGAAGATTTATTTATGCATATAGAACAGAGGAGCAGGGGCGGTGAGAGGATTCACATTCACCAGAGACAGAGTGGGGAGCAGAACAGGCAGATCCAGGAAGCACACTGCTGAGAGGAGCAGCGGGTGATCAGGAGAGGTCTACCGCGCCGTGTGGGTCACCTCCAGGGCAGGGATCAAACTCATGCTGAAGTGGCTTTAGCTTCTTAGTACTGTGCTTTAACCTGCTGAGCCACCAGGGAGGGCCTGTGAACTCCTTTTTTAAGACGCAAAGTCAGGCAAGACGTTGTAACCGATTGAAACAAGCGCCCAGGTTTAAAAGCCAATCTCCTGTGCCTCTGTGGTTCCCCTGGCTCTGTCCTGCTGGGACAGCCGTGTCTTTGAGCAGGCGACAGAGTCACAGTCCAGGGACACAGGCTAAGATTTAGAGGAGGGGCCCTGGCTCTGCCCGGCCCTGCGAACCCCTGGCCCCAGCCACCTTGGTGGGCGGCTGAGCTTCCACATCTGGGCCTCCGGTCACTGTCACCCAGCGCTGGGGGCTGCGGGAGGACTAGGCACGACACTTGTGAACTGTAAGCGGAGGCTGGCTATTGTGACTTGTCCACAGAGCCCACCCCGTGCCGCATTAAATTCATTTTGTTGAACTTCATCTGTTTTAAGGACAAAGTTAAATAGAAAAGCGGGGTTCCTGGGCATTTACCTTGGAAACGTCACCTCGCCTCCATCGTCCGGGCTGCTGCCTCTGACCACAGACATCTGCCTGCTCCAGCTTCCCCGCCCCGGTGGCCGCCAGCTCACCAGGTATCCTGGACATGATGTTCTGAAGGCCGTGAGGTGGGAGCTCCCTCTTGGCCGGAGTCCCTCACAGGGGCACAGGGCAGTATGGCTCCTCCCTGGCGCCCCCTGCAGCCTGCTCACAGCCTGTGCTGCTTGAACTGTGTCCAGCAATGCTGACACCTGGGCGTTATCTTGTACACCATGGTCTCTTGCTGCTGCCATCTATGGGAGAGGATTTCTTTCTGGAAGGCTCCGCGGTGGGTATTCACAGTCCTTACAGAGGTTGGATTCTGTTACTGCCATGTGGTTTTTTACAGGGCGGTATACATCGTCACCCAGGAAACATTCTTAAGTGTCCTTAAAGGGTTCTTAAGTCAAAGTCCTCCTAGCTGTCCCCTGCCAGCATTGGCTGTGACCACAGGAATAGAGTGGGTAAGACATGTTCGGAAGCGTGGAGGGTTTTCATCGTAGCTGCTGGTCTCCTCTGGGGCTATTGCATCACTGCGTGTGTCCTAGATGGAGGTGGAGGGGGTTTAAGGTGGTTATGGACACAGGGCTGGAGGTTGTCGTCCTGGGCCCCAGCTGGCTGGGAGACTCACAGACTGTGTTTCCATTGTTGGCCTTGGGCCTGAGTCTGGGCTTCAACGAAACACCAGCAGTACAGGCGCATGCATGCAGGTTTTCTCTGCCCAGACCTTCAGCTGAAACAGACAGGCTGGGAAAGGACCGTGGTTGTTGGGGAGTAGAGAAGAGAGCCTCCCCTGGAAGGCTCGGCCCTCCACCTTCTACGTGGAGCTCAAGATAAGATACGTTGCCATAACACCATCACACCGTTCATCTCTCTGCCACTGGTTTGTGGGTTTGGTCCCCTCCACATCCCATCTCTCATGTCCTTGTCACCTAAGGGTGGTCGTGACAGGGTGGCTCAGAAAAGACCTGAGTTGTTCTTTCATGTTTACCAAGGGGTGCCTTATGATGTCTCCCTGTTCTCCTGCCTCTGGGGTTAAAGGTCATCATATTTGTCAACAGATTTTCACATTCGGTGAAACAGAAGGGGATGTGGACCTGTCATTGAGTACTCGCTGCTGCAGCTCACAGAAATCCGCTCCTGTCGGCAGGATCCCCCACCCCAGGACAAAAGTCCTGCTCCACGTGTCTGCTGTGGGGCGGGCCTAACACTGCGGTCGGGAGAGTCCAAGGTAGTATCAGGGCTACCACAGTAGGTGCTCAGCCTGCTGATTTTATGTTCTGCAGTCAGCAAGGAGGTTCTCTGATTATACTACACCCTTCCCGTGGCAGTACCTCAGGCCTGACACGTTTGTTCAAACTTGCCTCAGGCCTTATTTTCTGCCAGCCAGTGGTCCTGGTGCAGTCGTGCGTGTCTGCGCCTTTCCCATGCTCCTCAGCAAGCACAGGCTCACCCGTCAGTCACCTGGACTAAGCACACACTGCGCGCTCCAGGCCGTCATACTGTGGACTTCTCAGGCTCAGGGAGGCGGAAGCTTGGCATCTTCTTGATAATCTTCATGGCCACCTCTGCGCCCGGCCAGCTTCACCTTGGCAAAGGCTCGCTTACCTGAATATCAAAAAAAACTTCCCATCTGAGTCTCTTCAGCAACAGGGGGGGCCATAGCCCCACACCCGGGCTCAGCCGGTCCTCATTCCCACCCCGCCCCTAGACTCCGCAGCATGTCTAGGGCCGTGTAGTAGACAGGAAGGGTTATCAGTCAGAGGGGAAACTGGAGCCTAACGATGGCCCAGAGCAGTTACTGAACAGGCGCAAACTCAACAGTCGTTAGCTCTCATCTGCATACGGAGGCGGGGCTTGAGGAATGGTGAGAAGCTCGAATATACTGTGCGCTGGTTGGAGAGCTTTCCATTCAGTCAATCGTTGGGGAATAATGCTGACTCATTCAGAAAGAGAGAAATGTTTAGTCCAAGACTAGCTATGACCCACTTCTGTGAGCACAGAATAGGAACCTAAAAATGTGCTCTTGTGTGTATGCTAACATTTGTTCTTGTTTTTATTCCAATAAATGCCTTCCATATGCAGGCGCTGTTGAAGGAGTATATAAATCAATTGGGCAAAGCACCCCTGTCCAGCTGATCCTATAGGAGACACCTTGACCATAATTCTGCGGATGTCTGTACCATGCGCTTATATTCCCTCTCAGACCCACCCATCACTGGAAGTCAGACTACAGTTTCTTGTATTGATCCAATTTAAAAGAGAGTGTTCAGTCTCTTGTGGTACATAGCGAAAACATGCAAACAGATGAACTAAATCAAACAAGAATAAACTTTTAGACTGTAAGAGCAAATATGTTCCGCTGTCAGGGGCATTGAGGCTGGTAAATAACCACTGTGCAAGAACTGACATGCATAGAAGATATCTCCTTCCAGTTAAATAAATCTTAAACCCTTCTCTTGGGAGAATTAGAAATAATTATTAGCATGGAATTTGGTGGTTCATTAAAAAATGACTCACCGAGAATAACTGAATACAGTGAAATGAAGGAAAGGACTACTTAATTGGGAAAGACTTGTGTGGATAAGGAGCGGAAGACCTACTGAAACAAATGGACACAGAGAGCCAGCCAGACCTTGAATCCTCATGCAATGTATTGGATATGAAAGGTCCCTGGGGACAGTGGCCTCTGATAACTCAACTCTAGTTGATGGGTGCAGCTACAACCTATTCTCTTCAGTGCACACTTTCTAAGCACTAATCTTATTTTAGCTATTTTTGTAATCTGCATAAACTGATTTATCTCTCAATGACTTGAGAAATCCTGGTTCCTTTCTGCTTAATTGTTGGTTAAATTTGTCTTTTTACTGCCCTATTTTATTAAAAGCAGCAAGAAGCTTACCAGGCTGTACTTCAATATTTTGCTTGGAAATCTGAGTCAAAGACCCAAGCTCATTAGTTACCAGTTCTGCTTTCATAGGGCTGTAGAGCACACACTTCAGGTAATTTCTCTCACTAGATAACAAGAATCTCCTTTCTTCCACTTTCAAATAACTTGTTTCTCTGTGTCTCCTGAGCCCTCACCATAAGCAACGTTAACTCACATGTTCTCACCAATAATCATCCTGAGAAGATTCTCAGGCTAAACTTATATGTTGCAGGCTCCCTGTTGGGCTGGCTAATCCTATCACCTGAAAAATGGGTTAGAGTGCACACATATTCAATAGGGGAGAAATGCATTCCAATGAAGTTGACTTAATGACAGTTATTACACACTTGAAATCTCCCAGAATAGTGATAGGGAGAACTGAAATCTCTGTCTCCTGCTCATACTTCAATACAAAGCTATCTGACATACAAACTTAAGGCTCACATCAAACTATTTTCTCCCATTTCATAATGGCAGCTATGTCCCTTCATTACTCTTCTGTGTGTTTTTTTTTTTTTTCACTTTCTTTTGCTTATAGACTTTGTTCTTGGCAATGAGATTAGGCTATCAACCAGGATTCTATACCAGTTACTCTTTGCCAGGACTCACATAAATAGGACTTTTCCTTATAGTTCAGTGTTTTTAAAGGAGACGGAGGTGGAGTTGACAAGCACAGATTGAAAAGCAAATTGATAGTCTCAAATAAAATCCACCAGGTGAGCTTTTTGATAGATTGGGTTAAGGAAGGAGCAAATTCAAAGATGCCTTTATGGATTTCTACACTTGCACTTAGGTAAATGGAGTTTCCACTGAGAGCTCTGGAAAGTAGGATGTAAGTAGTTTTAGAGTCAGAATGTGAGGTTGCTTGCAAATCAAGACACAAGATTTGCAGTTAGATTGAAAGTAATTTCAACAGCCTGAAGTCTAGTGCCCTAGAGAAAGAATGAAGGGCAGTGAAGCTGAGGAGTTCCAGTTCACAATTCCCAAGTTTAGGGTGGGGGGAAGAATTCCCTCTTTGTCTTTCAGATTTCTATCTCATATTTCCATGTCAGTAAACATTAAGCAGTGTTTGAGAAGATCAAGGGAGAAGAAAAGATGCAAATGAGATTATGTAAATTGACAGGGTGTCCCACACCCTCTTTACACCCAGGACTAAAGGCCACCTCCCTTCTGGGGGGAGTCACCAGTCCTTCTTCAGGTCTATAAATGCCCAGTCGCATCAGAAATTACTCAGACTGGCATCAGACTGCCTCAGTCTCCTTGAAAGGAAATCTACCTCAAAGACAAATTGGAAAAGGAGCCAAAAGCTACCAAGACCACCAACCCAGGTAAGGAGGGAGCTGTGACAACGTGGGTACAGGTAAAAGAGACAGACAGAGGCTTTCTGAGCTTTCTGCTTCCGTCAGGACAGAAATCCTGGACTTCCAAAGGAAATAGGATTTCTATTTGCTTCTTCAAATAAAAACATGCCATTTCATTCAGCACTATGTTTCTCAAGAGCATTGCCCTATATAATAAATTTTGTTGAACTTGATACACTCATTTCTCACTCTTGCCTTTTTTTCAAGGATTTAGTTATTTATTCACTACAAAACTGGAGTGTAGGCCAGAGGCAGGGGGGATGGGGATGAGAGGACCCATCAGAAATAAAGGGATACAAAACTGGTGGATCCACTGAAATATGCTGCCGAGGAGCAATGGGTGAGATAGGAGAGGTCTATTTGGGTTAGACAGCTGAGTTTTAGCCCCTCCACTACAAGGGAGGCTCCATCCTAGCCTTTGGAAGTTTATGAGTGTGTATAAGGAAAATGCCTTAGGTAGGTCTTTGTCCTTGATATACATGATTCTGTTTGTCATGGGTTACAGGCCCTTCCTTAGTTTAACACAACTTTTTTTCCCTTGTTAGCTGATGTGGAAGATGTCTGGAGGACTCTCCTGCTGACGCCAGACCTGGACATACATTCCCACCACTTCTGGAAGTTGTGCTCATCCCTGACAAAGAGCGCCCACTGGTCCAGAAGCGGGTGAGTGAACCTCCCTGAGCCAGGGGACCCGTGATTGCCTGGGCCCCGCCTCCTGCTGGAAGCTGATTCTAGAGCTGAGGGGAAGGACAAACACTTGTGGGGTTGCAGCTTCCTGGAACCCTGGGAAGCCCCCTACCCGTGGGGAGAGTAGGGGCTGAGGAGACACCTGCCTCTCGCCTCTCCCAGGGGCCAGAAGACTTGCTGAAAGGGGTTTGCCAGGAAGCGCCTCGTGCACCATGGCTTTTGCCGCCGGCCTGGTTGAGCTCCAAGCAGAGACCAGCTGCCCCGTCTGCCTGGACTACCTCAGACACCCAGTGACCCTGGACTGTGGCCACAACTTCTGTGGCTCCTGCATCCAGCAGCGCTGGGAAGACCTCCGGGACATCTTCCCCTGTCCCCTGTGCCTCCACCACTGTGCTGACAGGAGCCCCCCCAGGAACACCCAGTTGAGCCACCTGGTGGACATTGTCAAGCAGCTTCCTGGCCAGAGAGGCCCAGGGCAGGAGGAGGAGCCCCTGTGTGAGAAGCACTCCCAGGGGCTGACCCTGCTCTGTGAGGAGGATCTGGAGCTGCTGTGTCCCAGGTGCAGGGTGTGCTCTGACCACCAAGGTCACCTCCTGATGCCCCTGGGGCCAGCTGCAGCCAGGCACAGGCAGAAGCTCAAAAGCTTCCTTGAGCTTCTGAAGTGTCAGGTTGAAGTGGCCCAAGCACAGTGTGAAATGCAGATTTCAAAATCCATTGAATTGAAATGGAAGATGGAAAACCACAAGGAAGAATTAGGCCCCGAATTCAAAGAGCTTCTAGTTTTCCTGAAAAGGGAGCAGGTGGCAATTGATGCCAGGATGCTCGCAGAGGAGATGGTCGTGGGCCAGAGAGTCACGGAGAACAAGAGCCAGCTCTTAAGCCACCTGTCCACGCTGGAGGATCTGCTCCTTGAAATCCCAGAGAAGTGTCTGCAGGCAGACCTGGATTTGCTGGCGAGCGTCAAGACGCTCCACAGCAGGTGTGAAGACCTGCAGCCACCAGGAGTGTTCTCCTGTGAGCTCCAGAAGGAGAGCTGCCCTCTCCCTCCTCACTACCTGGGCCTGCACAACATCATCCGCACCTTCCAGGCAGATCTGACGCTGGATCCCAAGAAGGCCCACCCGGGCCTGCTTGTCTCCAGAGACAGAAAAAGTGTGACCATGAGGGCAGTGCCGCCAGAGCTCCTAAGGGGAGCCCAGGGCCTGCTCTCTTACCCTCGGGTCCAGAGTGGGGAGGGCTTTGAGGCTGGCAGGCACTTCTGGCAGGTGGAGGTGCGAGGCCCAGGGGTCTGGTCGCTAGGTGTGTGCAACGACTCTGTCTGCACGAAGGGTCTGAGGTCAATATCCCTGAGCCCTGGGTCCTGGCAGTTTCAGCCCTCCCTGTGGGCACTGGGTCCAGAAACCCCAGAGCAAATTGTGCGGATTGGGGTGTTTCTGGATTATGAGTTGGGGGAGCTCTCTTTTTTTGACCTGAATAACAGGTCCTTTTTGTACTCATTCACTGACATTTTCACAGGAAAACTGACGCCCTGTTTCTCCTTTGGCACTTCCTCAAAATCCCTCACACTCAGTCTGCTGTCTTAGAGGTGCGGTGAGCTACTTGGAGGCAACTTTGGGTGTGGCTTTCTCCTCCGTGTTATTGAAAGGAGGACTCATGATACATATTTGATTGCACATATGAAGAATGAAATCTTTGCGGACTTGCCCTTTGATCCTCCTCTTCATCCCTCACCAGGAAAGGCTGCAAGAAGTCCAAGTGTTGCTTAATGTAAGGAGCAAAATGAAAACGAGTAAATGCCTAGCAGTTACAGAACCCTCACCCAAAATCTCATGCTGTGGCAGAAATGCATTACCTTGTGTCTTCTCCCTCAGCTCTCTGACATTTGGGACCTACTCTGATAATCTTGCAACTCTCCCTATCAACTCTCATTCTGTGAATATGTGAATAATAAACTTGGTCATAACCGGCTGCTGAGTGTGACTTGTTATTATACTAAGCAATTACAAATTTACTTTTTTTTTTTTTAACTGAGATAACATTGGTTGACAAAGCTGTATATGACTTAGGGGAATAGGTTCACACTTCATCAAGGCTGTCACCCCAGAGCCCATAGTCCTGTACCCTAGGCATTGGGCATCTCCCCCCTTTCTCCTACCCCGACTCTCCCATTTATAGGCTCCATTCTGCAGTAAAACTTCTGGGGTTAGTTTTGGTTGGGTTTTTTTAGTTCCTTAATTTTGTTTCTCTGCAACATATTTGCCTTTTTTCCTTCTGACTTGCATCATTTTGCATAATCCCCTCCAGATCTATTTTGTCTTTACAATGGTAAACAGGAAAAAGAAAACCTCTAGGCACAGCACATTTCAATACAATACAGAACATGCTCAAGTTACACATGCATGATAATATGAAATCTACCTTTGTGTATGTGTATATAACAGTCTTCTCAAAAGAAGCCCGAGTCAGAAAAGAATGGCTGTGTAGGGAAGGAAAATGGAGACCTGTGTTGTCCGAGCACTTTGCTTTTCAGTCATACATCTAAATAGTGCCTGTGAGACACTATTTAATCCCTACAGGAACCCACTGTTCTCTAACCAGAGCAGTGTCTACACGTAGGGCACCCATAAGCCTCTAGTCTCTCCCTGTTCTCTGGACAATTCCTGTAGGGTCTCCAGATGGGATCTTTACATACTGGGCTTCTACCTCAGTACCTTCCCTCTAGAGAGAGCTGATAAAAAGACTTGCGTACGTTAAGTCTATGAGATCCCTTCTAAAGTTGACGAGATCAGTTAAAAGTGTGCACCTGCCATTTTGCAACGAGTGATTTCACCAGGAGCAGTGGGCAGAACCCAGAGGTCTCAGTGGCTTCAACCAGAGGTTTTGCTTTTTTGCTCCTAGAGAGGCCTGGGGCGACTCCGGCTCCCATACTGCCCCTTGAATAGCAGCCCAGGGGTGGAGGGAAGAGTCTGGGCTGCTCTTCTCCCTGGAGTTGAGCAGGTGGGGAGGTAAAGAGCCAAGGATAAAGGAAGAAACCTGGTGATGAACTCATGTGCTGGAGCAAAGTGGGGAAACCTTGTGAGTTCAACATGTGAGCAGGTGCTCCTGAGACAGGCCAAGTCCAAGATCTTGGGAGCTCAGAGAACTCAAACTCAACCAGATAAAATTTCAAAATTTGGACACCAAGACACTGATAAAATCTGGAAATGGTCTCAGAACTGTGGTAGAGGGAAATGACAATGGCTTTCTCTGAGGCAGGAAGACACGACCATAATGAATCTTTTCTTATCCTGAAGATTTATTTATTTATTCATACAGAACCAGGATAAGGGCCAGAGGGGCAGGGGCGGTGAGATGATTCACCAGAGACAGAGTGGGGAGCAGAACAGACAGATAGACAAAGTGCAGTGCTGAGGGGAGCAATGTGTGAGACAGGAGGGGTTTATTGTGCCATGTGGGTGACCTTCGGGGCCGGGGATCAAACTCATGCTGCAGTGGCTGTGGCTCGCTTCGTAGTGCTAGCCATTGTGCCACCAGGGAAGGCCCCATAATGAATCTTTTGGCAAAGATATAAGCTACTTGGGTACCTTTTCTATTGTCTGGTCAAAACACTGGTTTTCTGCGCAGTGTGAGAGAATCATTTCTTCTTGTTTCGCTCCTCAGTGCAGATGAAAGCCGTGATCAAAGCTATAATTTTTTCATATCAAATGAAGTTGGTCAGGCTTTTAGGCCATTTGCCTCTGTGCCTTACACCTGCAACCCTGCTCTTCTTAAAGTGTATGGTGTGGAGCATGCATGCAACCGTGGAGCTGTGTGGGAGTGTGGGCAAGTGTGCATACCTGTGCCTAGGGGCGAGACCACTTGACTATGTTCAATGGTCATTTTCTGTCCTGAACAAGTTTGATCCATCAGAAGCATTTGATATAATTGATAACATAGGCCTGAAACATTTTCACCTTCAATTCACCCATCCAGCGTTCGTCTTTTTTTTCCTGGTCATGCCTTTTACTAAAGACCCCTAATCTCCATTGCCTTTAGCCATAAGTAGAGTTGCCAGACTCAGCAAATAAAAATACAGGATAATAATTTTTGAAATATTGCATGGAACATATTTAACCCAAAAAGCATTTGTTCCTTTGCTTTCAGCTTGGGTCTCCTCCCTGAACTCTGACCCATATTTCCAGCCTCTGCCTGACAGCTCCCCTCCCGTGTCAGAAGAGGAGCAGCGACTTCTTATGCTCAGCACAGAGCCCCTCTGCCTCAGCCCCACGCAGGCCCCTGCTGCCTCTCCGCCTCTGCCAGTGCTTTCTCCCGTTTCCCAGTTCCTCAGGCTAAAGGAATCTACGTGTCCTTGAGGCTTGTTTTAGTCTCATGTCCTGTGCAGGATCGTCACGCTGCAGGCTTTACTGTCACAGCGGATCCAGAAGTCAGCCACTCTCACTCCCTCTGCCACCAGCATTTCTTGCCTGGATTATTAGAGGAAATTCCTAATAGCTCCCCTGTTTCCTCTCTTCCAATTTTCCATAGCCAGTGCTCCTGGGAAACTACAGGGTCCTCCGACCTTCTGGTGGCTTCCCCTGGACTCAGAAAAGCAGCCTAAGTTCTCCCCATGACCTGCAGGCCGGCAGGCACAGCCCACTCACCTCCTAGGCTCTCTCTGGTTCTCTCTGCTCCAGCGCGCTGTTCTCCTTGTCATTCTCTGCATGCTTTTCATGCATTCTAATCAAATATTTAATTCACTGAAAAATTGTAGTGCTCTACCATATGCTAGTAATTTAGGAGATAAAGTGATTTCAGAAGGCATATTATAACTCCCTCCTGGATACAGAAAAGAAAAAAAAAACATGATTGCAGTAGGTCTTATAATTTCCCTGCAGTCTCACAGCATGACTAGAATACTTTTTAAAAATTTGAAAAGATAGTTACATAAAAATATCTTCATCTCTATGGCAAGTTCAAGCATAGAGAAAATGCTAGTGAGTCACTCAGAAGAAACAGACACTCTTTCACACCCTTTTCCTACCTTCTCTGCACTCCAAGGCCAGGTATAGTTGGGGACACAGCCATGCTGGTTAAAGATGACATTAATTAATTCACCCCATAACACCCCATTTTTGCTCCTGAACTGTGCACAGTGGCCTGTTGTATTCAACAGAGAACGGTGATCACTGACCTGCCAAAGGTCACAAGCATGGAAGCCACTGGCAGATAAGAGCAGGAAACGTAACTCACCCCACAGCTGATGCCAGTTTGTTCTAGACTAAGCTTCTATTCTGGATCCATATATCTTCAAAGGTGTCAGACTGCCCGCATAACGTATGATAAGATCAATACAAAGAAAAATCAAGGGACATGGGTGATTGATTGCATAGCCCAGAGCTCTAAAATAGAACTGCCTGCTTCCCTGTGAGTTAAACATTTGGACAAGTCCGAAGGTGATTATTCTAAAATTTTACTATTTTGAAATAATTATATAGTCACAGGAAATTTCAAAGATAGTACAGAGAAGTTTCCTGTAACTGTCATCCATATTCCCATATAACCTATCACAGCCAGGAATTAGCTTACAAACAATATTTGAGCATAACCTTCAAAGCCTTTATCTGTAAATACTTCAGCTTGTATTTCCTAAGAGGAAGAGTTTATGCAGCTACAATGCAATTATGGAGTTAAGGAAGCTTCATTTTAGTTTTATTATCTAATAAAGAATGTATATTCAGATTTTTCCCATTGCCCTATGCTATTGACTTCATAACAGTTTTTCTGCCTAAAGCTGGTCAAGCTCTGGGAGAAGAACATTCTGTATGTGAGAAGAACAATAAGCTTCCGGCCCATCGTTTTAAAAAAGATTTATTTTATTTATTTATGCATGTAAGAGCAGGGGTGTAGGCCAGAGGTGCAGGGGGTGAGAGGGTTTGCCAGAGACAGAGTGGGGAGTAGAACAGGCAGATTGACTGACATACACTGCTGAGGGGAGCAGCGGGCAGATCAGGAGAGGTCTGCCACGCCATGGGGTCACCTCCCTGGCCAGGAATTGAGCTCATATTTTAGTGGCTGCGGATAGCTTCATTGTGCTAGGTCTTAACCCGTTGTGCTACCAGGGAGGGCCCTAATCCCTTTTATAATAAACTGGTAATCCAGTAAACACTGGTTTCCTCAGTGTTGCCAGCCATATAGCAAATTAGTCAAAACTAAGAAGGGGGCTCTGGGACCTCTGATTTATAGCCAGATGGTCACCGCACAGGCGACAATGGGTTGACAATGGCTGCCTAAGTAGAGGACAACCTTGTGGGTGTCCAGTGGATGATATTACGGTGACAGGACCCCGGGGTACTGAGGAACCTGGGAGAGTCTTGATTTCTACACAGGAAGTAATCATGTGGGAGTCAGCAGAGGTGACTTAGAAATGGAGCTTTATTGTAGGTGGTAGTGACACAATGCTGACCTCAGTTTCCCTCAGCTAATAAAAGGACACACACACACGGAGAGCAAATGACTGCATGAGTGTTTGTGTGTGTGTGTGTTTAGTAGATGCTCCCGATAGTAGATAAAGGAGAAAAGAGAAACAGAAAACTTCTGTCAGAAA